AGCCGCTTCTGACTGTGTGAGAGGTTAAAGTGCCTTCCAGAGCCAAGGGAGCCCTGTGTGAGCCCAGGTGCTCAGCCTTGGCAGGTGCCCTTCTGCAGGAGAATGGGAGGCCCCAGGTCTGAATTGTGGGGTGGTTATGGACATGACCAAGGGAAGTGTTGGGTGTAGATTAGATCCAGATTCCCTCACCCCCCACGCCCACCCCAAAGCTGCCTTGGTAGGCCCCTGGTCAGGGTCCTTGGTACCAAGTATTCCTTGTAGCAGGAGCAAGACACTGTCCCTTCCCCTTCAAGGCCCCAAGATGCTCTCTGAACACCTGCTTTGTTAGTCCCCTCCTCTCCCGTTCCTCTCTCCCCCACACCCTGTGCACTTTTGCTGAGCTCACGCGCTGCGAAATCACCTTGTTCATTTGCTCACTATTGTTTGCCTGTATCACCTCAGTAGCGTGTAAGTCCTGGGGACTCTCCTCTGAGCCTAGAACAAGACCTGGCCCTGTGGATGGGAGAAGGTGCAGGTGGAGAATCCCCCTCCTCAGGGTGCTCCTTTTCCCCATGGGCCAGATGCTTTTGGGAACGAGGGGACTAACTCCAGTGGCACGAGGCCTATGTCCTCGTAGGATGGGCAGCAACTGGGTCTTCCCCAACTTGGTATCCCTGCACCCCACAGCACCTAGAGAGCCCTCAGCACCCCACAGCTGTCATTCCAGGGCTGTGTCAGCGGCACCAGAATTTCAGCCCAAGAGATGTTATGACATGATCTTCATCTTAGAATCCAGTTTCACCCACATAAGACAAATAACAAAACCTGTGAACCTTAAAAGGTACTCAGGAGACCTTGGAAGGGTTAAAAGTAGCAGATCAAACAGTGGTGGAATTCACAATGAGGGGCCAGACCCCATGAAGCAGCTGTCATCACCCTCTTTACAGGGCTGGGGTGTAGCCTTGCGAGACAGGCAAGGTAACTCACCCATGATCACACTAGAAGACAGCAGACCCAGAAGGGAGCATCTAGGGGTGTGCACTTAGCAGGTGCTCAGTAAATATTCTGAAAGAGTGAAGGTTAGGATGTAAAGCCCAGCTCTCCCCAGGTCCATTCTCCTATCTTTGCACCATACCCAATCTATCCAGAACCTGGTTTGCACTTTAGAAACACTTGCAAAAACGGTTAGCCATTTCCTGGAGTGAGCACATGGTTCTAATGACCCTCCCCTCCCCACCCAAGCCTGCTGGTGGCTCTAATTTATTGGCTAAGACAGAACTTGAGAACACCCCTTACTACCTTTATTTTAATACAGACTTACTCCAGAGCAGAAATACTGCCTCTTACAAACATGGGGAAAACAATATGGGAAAAAAGAGTATTTACTCTGTATTTCTGAAGTGTTTCAAAACCAGTAATTAATCAGAAAGCCTAGAAACTCCACGAGAATATATTATTTATTCTTAGTGTCCCCTGCCTCACTGCCCCCATCCCTCTCACCCTCATTTCCCAGAGGCCAAGAAAAAAAGTCAGAATTCCCCAGGTTTAGATTATCTGATGCCTTAATTAAGGAAAAATAAATGGGTCACCCCTGTCAGCTTACATACTGCAGCTGCATCAAATGGTATCCCTTAGAATACACCCAATCACTATAGAGGCTTTACTGTATCTGAATAAAGACAAAAACACGGCTGCAGCTGCATTTGACCAAGGTCACTCTGAAAATCAATGGCAGCACCAGCATCAGACCTGGGAAGCCCTGACTCGGGCGCCTCTGTCCTGCTGGTAGCCAGGCTGCCTCCCCCCAGGAAGCCTCAGCCAGCTGGTAGGTAATTATAAGTGCTAATTATCACTGACACTCTAGCCACCAAGTTTCCAAGTTCCTGCATTTGTTAAAAGGCCAAGCTACCTGGGTTTTTCTAGGATTGTTTATTTGGAGAGCTCTCACTCAGAACGAGGGGCCTACCTGGCAAATTCTAATATGAACAACTGGTTGGGGAGGCGATGGAGAATATTTTTACCTCCACTGGCCAGATTCTCCATTCTAGACCTCACCTGTCTCACTGTAGCTGTGTGACCTTGGACAAGGTCCATCACCTCAATGAGCCTCAGCCTCCTTATCTGTGAAAAGGGGATAATGAAGCCTGCCTTACACAACTGGTGTAGACAGCCCCCCATTAGACGGCTTAGTGCAAGGTGCAGAGAAGTTGTCCAGCTTGCTGGTTGGCTATATGAACGAACACAATGTCTTCACAAATTGGAGACAGTAATTTCTACTTCCCATCACATTAATGATATTGGTAAGTATGTGTATAGATTTGTTTATGTGTTGACTAGACTTAAAAATAGGTACTCTGAATTAAAAACACCTGATTCACACTGTACTGATTCTAATCCAATTACTGCAACTGGATCTGCAGCTACATAATAAGTCCGACATTTACTATTTAGGGAAACTCACCAGCTTTGTCATTTTAGTTTTCTCTTTGAAAGTGATTTCCAAACTTGATGCAAATTTAGCTGGAACAATTAATTTGTATTTTTTCTGCACGCAAATGACAAAAATAGCCTGGCGACTCAAAGGGAACTGACTGTCTCTGCTTCCTGGCTCTCACTGCATGCATCCTGGCCTGCCAGGATATCATCCTTGCATTCCAAATACCAGGGCTGAGGCCTCAAAGTGGAAGGACATTGGAATAGAAATCCTTGGTGTGACCGTCAGAATGACAGACACTTGGTCATCAGACCAGGTAGTACAAGCTCCAGGCTGGAGGCAGGTGCTGAGATGGCCAGTGGCCTTTGAAGCTCAGGTCCAGTCAATGGAATTATAAGGGATAGAACCATCTGCAAGAAGGTTATCAGAGTCTCCCAGAGGACTGATGGGTGTTAAGGAAGAGGACAGAAAAACTGGTTACATCTCTGGATGTCTGGGTTTGATATCTGGCTCCTGGCTCTGCCACTTGATAGCTTATGATGCTGGGAGAGTTACCTAATCTTGCTGGACCTTGATTTCTTCTTCTGTAAAATGGGCCCACTACTTTCCTAGATAATAAGTGTTCTGAAGCTCACTTGAGAAAGTATTCAAAGCCATTCAGAATTAAAATGCGATACCAAGGTATGAGTGTCTGTAATTATTTCAGGCATCATTTGTATAGGTGCTTCATGTTCACAACCCCACTTTCTGCTCACACTGACCTCCAAGGGGGACTGTTCTTATCTCCATGTTACTGGTGGGGAAACTAAGGTTCAGAGAGGTTAACTAGCTTGCCCAAGGCTGTGTAGCTAATTAACCATGACAGTAGGATGTGGACCCAGGCAATAGGACTCTGGGGCCCAGGCTCCTAACCTTTAAGATGTGGGGTCCCCTAAAAGCACGGCAAACAAGGAATATTTTGTCAACATGAGTTAAGAAAACAGTGACTTTTCCCACCCCGCAGGCCCTGGCTCTCTGCAAGGAGGAGCTGGGGTCTCCAGGTCATCCCAGGTTGGAGCTGGGGACTGAGCAGGGATGGTGGTAGTGAGCCTGCAGGGGGGATGCCACCCAGAGAAGCAAGTGGCAGGAGAGTCTGGTGGGCAAACGATGGCCTTTGGAGCAGGAGCTACAAGGTTCTCTGTCCAGGCACTTCCACCTACCAGCTGTCCCACCACTGGCTTCCTGACATGTAAAATGGGACCATTATGCTAATCTGGGAGGCTGCTTCAGATTAAAGGAGTCAAGTAACAAAAGCAAATCTCTTGTTGCCACTGATAACTGGCACCTAGTAGGTGCTCAATAAGTGGTTGCTCCCTAGCCTCTCCCTGAGACCTGCTATTACTGTAGGTGACAAGGCATAAGGCACCGAGGCATGGCCAGAAAGTGCCTAGACTGAATCCCGAGGATAAATACAACGCAATGCTTGTAACTATGGGTCAGGAGCCTGGGAGGCCTGAGTTCATATTCTGGCTCCACCACAACCTAGTCCTATAACCTCAGGCAGGTTATGTCACCTAGCTGTGCCTCAGTTTCCTTATCTATAAAGTGGGTATAGTAACAGACCCCACTTCATACGGTTTGTGGGATAACAGATAAGAATTGATCCTGTAAAGCACTTAGAATGGTTCCCAGCATACAGTGGACATTCAATAACTGCCAGCAATGACAACTCTGATCTGCATGCTCTAGACTGAAGGGCACGCCTGGGACCTCAGGGGTCTGTTTTCTATTGCAAACCCTCCATTTCCTTGCAGACCCACCAGTCAGGTCCCAGGAGGCCAGAAATCTGCAGTGTGGTCATAGGACGGGTTAAACTTTGGCAGAAGGGCAGTACCTCATCAGGTGGTGAGCGGGGATTTGAAGGTGGTGACAGTGACCGCCTGGAAAATAGTGCAGGGAACTGAGACAGTGTGTGCACCTGCCAAGTGCTCACATTCACACGGGCTGGACGCACTAGGCACGCACGCACATTTATGGGTTATGTGCTTTTTGCATTGAAAGTTTAACTTCTGACTCAGCTGAATGAGTTGATCTATTTCTTTTGCTTTGACTATAAATGAGTCCCTATGCATGGGGTGCCTGAGCTGCCCATGAACAATCCCCACCCCATGAGCGCCCTGGCTAGAGGCGTGAGAAATGGACCGAAGTCCTCCATTCCCGGGCGCGCGAAAAAGCAGAGGTGCGCTTCTCCCCAGTTGGAGAGGCGAGTCTGAAAGGCTTTGCACAGATCTATAGGGAAACCATAATTTACTTACTGTAGAGGGAGAGGAGTAGGCAAAGGAGAGAGGGAGACAGAATAGCAAGACTATAAACAATTCTTAAACACCAAGATCTCGTAATCGAAGACTCCTGGGTCTTCTATCCTGCAACTGGGGAACCTGCTTTTTTAAGTCCGCGCCTGCCAGTAACACCAGCGGAGCCCGCACCCCAGCGATCGCGGTGCCCAGGGCTGGGCGCAAGGGTGGGTGCCCTCAGTTCCCAGCCCAGGGCCTGGGAGGGGCTACCCCGAGGGCGCCCCCACACCCCCACCGCGCGCGCCCCGCCCTACCTGAGCTGGCGCGGCTCGCAGTCCACGCCGGGCAGCAGCAGCCGGGCCGCCTGGCGGACGTCGTCACTGTCCATGGAGAAGCTGCGGCGGTGGCCGGCGTGCGCCACGGCCACCCGGATCCACTCCATCAGCGGCGGCAGCACGAGGAAGGGCCTGCAGCGGGAGGGACGCGGGGCCGCGCGTTAGGGTGGGCGGAGGTGGCGGGGCTGCCGGCTCAGCCCCACCCCCTGCTCCGCGCCCACCCCACCCCTCCACCCCGCGGCCCCTGGGGACCCTGCCTCTGCATTCCGGTGAGGTGCGAGAGCCTTGGGAGACAGCCCGCGCGCACCGGGGACCTTGGGGCGGGGTCTCCGGAGTCTTTGGGGCTCAGTTTCCTCATCTGTAAAACAAGGATAAGTGAGGATCAAAGAATGCGCTGGGGAACTCTTCTGCAAGTCCTGTCTCCCGGGGAGATCATGTGAGCGCTAAGGCGATGACTCACTTAAAGCACCAAGCACAGGGTCTGGGGCTTCCCAGAAAGCCCAGGAAACTCCTGGCTTTATTGATATGCACCGTGCCTGGTTTGGGGGCCCCATCCTAAGGTGTCCTCCAACCCTGCCATCCCATGCCTGGCCTGTCCTCCTCATCTTTCTGGAACTCTCCCAGGCCTCAGTGCTGCCCAAACAGCAGGCTGCCAAGGGCTTCAGCGCCTGGGAAAGCAGAGAGCCAAGTCCACAGGCAGGTGCCAGGCCAGGGGGCAGGGCAGTGACCTCGTAAGACACAGCAAAGAGGGGCCCTGAGCAAGGCTGGGCTACACTCAGCAGCTCGGGGAGCCAGTGGGGCCACAGCGGGGTTTCAGCTTGTAATGGTCGGAGAGTATGCTGATGGCTGAGCTATAGCTTCCTCAGTGTGACACATCTGCGCCATTTTCCTATTTCTTCCAGCGGTGATTATAAATTCTGACCTCACATTAGGATTCTTGCGAGTGTGTGTATGGGGGATTTTAAAAAAAAATTCTGATACCTGAGCCCCATTCCGAATATTCTGTTCTAGGCCGGGTCCAGACATTGGTAGTGTCTAAAACCCGTCTCATGGGAATTTACCTGGAGGGCTTGTTAAAACACAGACAGCTGCAAGCCACCCCTCTCCCACCCCCTGCAGATTCAGTCGGATCAGGGGAGGTGGCAAAAAAGCTGCATTTCTAAAGAGTTCCTGAGTAATGTGATTGTGCTGAGTTGGGGGACCACACTCTTGGAAGGGCAGCTGTAAAATGCTGTTACAGGGCCTGGGAATCACTTGTGCATAAATGTAGATTCCCCGGCTTTATTTCCAGACATGCTGATGAATATAACTCTAAAAAGCAGCCCTTATGACCATGATGTAGGCAGACCAGGATCATATTTTGAGAAACACACTCTGTAGATCACAAAGGTTTCCTACCATTCAGCAGGGCTGGGTCTAGGGTGAAGCCAGAGGGACCCTGGGGGGCCCTTTAAAGGAGGCCAGGCCAGGTCATGTTCATAAGTTCTAGGACCTCTCCTGTTTCCCCCCCCGGCCCTGGTGCTGCTGTTTAGGCCAGCGTGGGAGCCAGAAGAGGGTGCGAAAAGGTGGGTTTACAAGGCCGTGGCCCTCTCTCACAGCACACGCATGTCATGGTCCTACCAAGTTTTTGAGGACAGGTTTCAGTTTTCTAAAGTCAGACCTACTTGTCCAGTGTCCACTACAGCGATCAGTGAAGGCTTTATTCATTTCAGTTAATCCCATTTATAACCTCGTCGAAATGCTTACAATCAACCTACAAGCTAGTTATGTCATACCCATTTGTAGATAAGGTTTATTGAGGTTAACGTGTGATACCGGCATTCTCTTATCCAGCTTCCCAGCATGCACTCTGTTACCTAACATGCACCTGTTACCCCCAGGGAGGCTGACTGGACAGACAGTTGATGGCACACCATGCTCACCCCCAACCATGCACCTCAGCCCCCTGTCTGTAAAACCTTCAATTCTGTAAAAATCCACACACACTCCTTACCCGTCAAAGCATAGTTCAAATCCCACCTCTCCCTAAACCTTCCTTCTGATGACTCCGCCCCCCAGGGACACTCCCACCCCACAGCCCACCTCACTGACCTTGCAGGGACCTGGCCCTGCTCTGTCCACTGATGCAGCTGCAGTCTCAAGACTGCCTGGCAGGCTGTAAGCACTTCATAAACATTTGTTCACGAAACAGACTAAGATTTACCAATTTCTTACTGGCCAAAGCAGATAAAATCGAGTTTCTGGACCCATGGAACTCGAGGGCAGGGAATTTCTGCCTGAATCGACCTGCTGCTGAGTCTGTCGCCCTCATTCCCTCATTCTCTCCATCACCTGAACTGAATCAGGCACTCAATAAACACACACTGACTTGAAATTGAATTGGATTCTACTGTCTCAGGTGAGCAGGACTTATTTTGTCACCATGTTTCCATCACTGCTGAAACCAGCCCCGGGTGCTCAGGGCACTTCCCTCCAGGTTGATTTTCAGATATGGCATCCTCCATCCCCAGCCCTGCTTTTCCTTTGCTCAGTGGCCCCAAGCACACCCCAGCACCCCAGTCCCTGGGAGCAGGGAGCTGTGTCTCTATCACAGGCTACCCTTAGGCCACTGCTGCTTTTAATGTTATTTGCGGGCTTGGGGCGTGCATCAGCTCCTGATGAATACCAAAAAAGAGCAGAAAACAACTCTGCTGGCCTCCCAAATAACACCTTCACCAAGATGGCTGGCAAGCACTGGCATAAGAAGCCTTGAAGCCTAGGATTCCAGCTTGCTCTGGAATTTTCTATTAACTGTCCTCTCCTTTCAACATTGCCCTTTTCTATCACTTTGACCTTAATAGTTTATAAGCTCGTGAATTCTCTGCCAACAACTCATTTAAAAATCTCTTATCTTGTGTACTTGGAAGGGGGCGGAGAATAATTTCGTTGGTGATGTTTCTTTTTGGAGGAGTTGGAGATGGGGAAGAATTCTAGGCCTTGAGTTAAGGAGCAGTTGTTGAATGCCGAGGGAAAAATAAGATTGCATTTGTCCTAGATGTATTTTTAAAGGGACAATAAGAGGACAATGTGTTCCACTGGCTGTCTACTTTGTTCCGAAGTTGTTTGTCACGACTAAAATCTAGAAGGAGCTGGAGGAGTTCTTGGCTCCATGAGGTGGTTCCCAGGCTGTGTTCAACACCAGAGTCATGGGGCAAGGTGTGCAGAGGGCCATAACCCTGATCTCACCCCCAGAGTTTTGTTGCAACAGGGGACCCCAGGCATGAGCATTCTATATAAGCTCCCCATGGAATTCTAGAGCAAGCAGGTTTGATAATCCATGGCCGGTGACCTGAGATGAGCAGAGGGGACGTGGTCAACTCACAGAGGGCAGTGGCCACTGATGTCTTAGGTACGGCTTTCAAAGAGCCCTGTGGGCTGGGGCCAGAGGTTTTAGAAGGGAAGAGAAGGGCTAGGTGGGCTCCCTGCACAGTCAAGAGAGCAAGTCAGCTCAGGAAGGCTGTGGGCTCGGATTCAAGTAGGGGGTGGAGACATTCAAGGATGGGTCCTCTCCGAGTTGGGGAGAGAGTAGGTGCTGAGGGCGACTGTCCAGAATAGAAAAGGGGTTTCACTGGGAAGGGGCTGGGTGCTTGAGAGACTGAATGGATGTGGGAGATGCCTGGTTTGGGGTCCAGCAGAAGTGAATTTCAGCTCTGAAGGTGCCAGTGACTCACAGACTCTGGCTCTTGTCTGTAAGCCTGTGGGCTCTCAGTGTCTCCATCTGTCAAGTGGGAGGGTTGGGATCAGATGGTCCATTTCAGAGATCGACAAACCTTTTCTTTTAAGAGACTCAGAAAAGAACTAAACCTGCCGACACCTTGATCTTGGGCTTTCAGCCTCCAGAACTGACTGTAGAAAATAAATTTCTGCTGTTGAAGCCATCCAGTCTGTGTTTTTTTTTTTTGTTTTGTTTTTTTGTTCTGGAAGCCCTGGCAGTACATTTGTGGTTTGACTTTTTGAAGCAAACTTGAACAAAAGGTTCCTGGCCCAAGAAGTCTTTCCCTGAACTTGAGGGTTTAGTCTCTGGCAGAAGTGCTTCAATGAGAAGTTCAAACTCTTTGGAGAGTTGACAGTTTTCAGTTCATGTCCTTCAACTTAGTGACAACAACAGAGGAATTCTGTGCAGGCTGGATGGTGCAGAGGTTAGAAGACAGGCTTTGGAGAGAGACTGATGGAGAGGTGGAGCTGGAATCCACCATCCAGCTGTGTGACCTTGAACAAGGTGTTTCAACTGTCACACCTGTCTTTCTGCGGCAAAACCAGGACCATAGTTCCTACCGCACAGGGTGTGACTGACTGAATAATGACCTGCCCCAAAGATGTCCACATCCTAATCCTCAGAACCCGTGAATGTGACACTAACTGGCCAGATGGGCTTTGCACATGTGGTTAAGGATTTTAGAGATCGCTATCTTGAATTACCTATTGAATTATAAGGACAAGGGTCCTTCTAAGAGGGAGTCAAGATGGTCAAAGGAGGGATTGAGAGAGTGAGGACAAGAAACAAGAAACTGCATGCCAAGGATGGCTTGCAGACTGCAGGAGCCAGAAAAGGTTTGGGAACAGATTCCCCTGACCCCTCCAGCCCCCCCAAAAGCCTGTCCTGTCAACACCCTAACTTCAGCTCAGTGAGACTGATTTTGTATTTCTGACCCTCAGAACTTTCAGATAACCAATTTGTGTTGTTTTAAGCCTTTGTGTTGGTGGTTATTTTTGACAGCAGCCCCTAGAAAATGAATATGGAGAGTTATTGTATGAGTGGAATAGAAAGTAGCAGGGAAGTGCTTGGTAAGTGGCAGTTATTATCATCATCATCACCAAGGGTGTTTTAGCATCACTCAACCGCCTCTCTGCCCGGTGGAGGAAGAGGCCTTGCAAGGCACCTCTCGCCTCTTTTCAAATCGATGCCAAACTCTCCAGTTGCTATGCCTTTCCTTTATAAATTGTGTGGCCCTGACTTTTCACCCCCATCTCTGTTATTTGTTGAGTCTTTCCTAGGCTGGAGAGGAATTTAGATGTTTGTGGTTGAGGAAGGTTGTGACTAGAGCGATATGGGAAGTGAAGGAAAAGCAGCAAAACTGATAGTAGACGGTATT